CCTGAACACTTGCCATTTTGGGGCTGACGCCATCTTGGGCTCAGCCCATCTGTATGCAGATGTTAAAATAAACTTCACCTATCCCAGCCTCGTGCATTCCTCCCTCCATGTTTCAAACACTAATCACCTCTTAAAGTTTCCACCTCTTAATACTGTCACACACTGGCAATTCAATTTCAACATGAGTTTTGAAGGGGACATTCAAATCATAGCCGGGTATATACCCAAAAGAATTGAATAGCGGGGCTTGAACAGACACTTGGATACCCATGATCATAGCAGCATTATTCAAAAGAGCAAAAAGTAGAAAGAACTCAAATGTCCATTGACAGGTGAATGGATAGACAAAATGTGGTCTGTCATAGAGTGGAATATTATCAGCCTTAAAAAGGAGTGGAATTCTGATACTTGCTACAACATGGATGAACCTTGAAGACATTATGCTAAGTGAAATCGGAGGCTGTTTGACCAAACAACAGGGTACTGGGGCCTGGCCAAGATGACACATAAAATTGACGGTCACGTGGAATGTCCATCAGTGAGGGTCGCTCTAGCCTGCAGACACACCAGGGACCTTGATGAACATATCAGTGTTGGTGAATCAGAGTAGACAAGAAACCTAACACGTTCAAGGGTGGCCCTGGTCCTTGCTCCGCCACTGTTAGCCGTATTCCCTTGGGGACGCGTCCTCCTCTCCTGGTCTCAGTTTCCTGTCATCTCACAAGCACCAGAGGGCTGTGCCCAGAGCTTTGACAGCTCTCAGGGACAATGAGTCCTGTGTAGGTTGGAGGAACAAGTAACAGAGGAGAAAAGAGACATGGGAACCTTTCATTTGGCTACGTTTAATCAGTTATATTTTTCATTTATCTTGTGGTATTAGTTTGCAGTAGAAAATATTAAATGTTTTCCTTGAATACCTACCCAGTGTCTACTACATGGAGATCTTGGACTGGGGTAGCAAACCAACACATACTTACACTACGGCAGGGTAGGTACAATAATAGATGAATGGTAGTATAGAGAAGGGGTGCTTGCCTCTTGGGGGTTGGCCCCAAGTCAGGCTTAATTGCAAATGTCTATGGCACAAAGGAGGGCAGAATAAAACCTATTGGCCACCAACCCGTCTTCAGTTGCTACCACGTTGGTGCAATAAAAACATTTTGGAATCTGAACTAAAGTTCTTGTATGGCATATATAACCCTCTCCTGCTGAAGTCCTGCTTTTGTTGCAGTTTTCACAGGAAAAAAAATATTAAGCCCTAGAGCCCATATGAATATGACATATTGAGCCAATAAATACAATTTACAAGTAATTATAATTTACCTGCTGTATCCAGCAGGAATTTACAGTATTATAAAACTGGGGATTGGAATCCTGCCAAGTTCTCCAACAGACATAAGACACCACCATCTGCAGCTCCAGACACAGAAAATCTGTTTTCCAGCGTGGGCTCCGGACTCCTGGGTTTCATGCCTGCTGATTTATTTACATAGCACAGCATCGAAGGGATGTTTTCAAAGCCAGCAGGCATCAGGGATGAGCTGCCTGTTTTGTGGACCTAAAACGGTTGTTGCCATGCGAGAGGGAGGCCTTCCCCTCTCTGTGCTAGCAGGACACACAGCATAAACCGAGCAGATGTTTGCCAGGGCAAGTTCAAGGTTAGTACCTATCGGTGGCTCAATCTCCTATGTGAAAATACTGTACGATGCATTTGAATACACTTTATACTTGTCAAAACTCAATTTCACAGTCGTCTGTTCATCAGTGCCACGAGTCTACCTGATACGACATGAGGTATTAGCAGTGCCGTTTGACAGGTGTCCAGCGGCTTGACAGGTGTCCAGCGGCACGATTTGGCAGGGTTGTCTGTATGTCTTAGAGACAAAGACAACACTATTTGTTTTAAAAACCGACACATAATAATTGTACATATTTATGGGGTAAAGTATGATTTTTCTATATGTGTATACAATGTAATGATCAAATCAAGGCGATTAGCATATCCATCACCTCAAACAGTTGTCATTCCCGTGTGTTGGGAACATTCAAAACTCACAGTTATTTCAGTTATTTGAAAATATGCAATAAATTATTGTTGACTATAGTCACCCTACAGTGCTGTCGAACACTGGAACTCATTCCTCCTGTCTAGCTGTAATTTTGTACCTGATAAGTTAACCAACCTCTGGCTATCCACCCCTACCCTCTGCCCTTCCCAGCCCATAGTAACTACTAGTCTACTCTCTAGTTCCATGAGATCAACTTTCTCAACTTCCACAAAAGAGTATCTTTTTGTGTCTGGCTTATTTCACTGAACATAATGTCCTCCAGGCTCATCCATGTTGCCCCAGCTGACAGGATTTCATTCTTTTTTATGGCTGAAAAGTATTCCGTTGTGTCTGTAAGCCACATTTTCTTCATTCAGCCATCTGTTGATGGACACTAGGTTGATTTCAGATTTTGGCTATTGTGAATAGTGCCGCAATGAACTGGGCGGGGGTGGGGGGAGCATGTTCGACGTACTGATTTCCTTTGGCTACATACCCAGTAGTGACATCGCTGGGTCATATGGTAATCCTAATTTTAAGGACAAAGCTATCATTGATAATATTCCTCAATAATAACCAGGCTTGCTTTGGCTAAAGAATGGATTCTCTCAAGGGTACCAGTTAGGTCACGAAGGATGAAAAATGACACATTTATCAAGTGACTATATTCACCATGTTACCAAGTGATAGGGCAGGAATCACTGATGCCAGGAGACATCAGAACTAGCCCCGTTAATTCAGCAGCTCCTTCTGGAATCTGGAATCACAGCAACCAAGAAAGGTTCATGACTGATTGAAAAATGGCCCCAATCCTCCAACCTTCCATATGCAGGCCCTCTGCACTGAGACCTTCTGCTCCACCCGCTGAGGTGCAGCCTGCTTTCCCGCCTCTTCAATTCCTGCCCAGCAGGGCTTCCTCTGGGCCCCCGCTTCCCCGCATGCTACACCACCCCAGGACACCTTTTACACTTTTTTTTCTGTTTCAGCACTTGCTTCCCAAGACCCCAACCCGCAACACTTGGCACACAAAAATAAATAAGACAGTCCCTGCTTTTAAGGAAAGCAAATGAATGCTCATAGAAAGAAATGTTTTTTTAAAAAAAGTGTAATTTCTTATGTTCTCATGCTCTAACTGTATATTTTCAAAAACCAAACTGGGATGTAAAGACAGGTGAAGACATCATGACCTGAAATTGAGTTATATAAACCTATGGTTGTGAAACCTGAATTTCTTTTAATAGGCTTGCTTTAAAGCATGGTCAAATAGTCTTAACCTGAGTTATCGGGAATCATCTCTTAATATAACTTTTACCCTTCTCCGGATAAAAATTTAGTGCCTTTGCATTGCCTAGAAAACATCATGGTTCTAGTGACCACCTTGTTTTATAACATATCTTTACCTTCTTTGCCTATGGATTTTTAAATCAAATTGACAAGTTATGCCACTGAGGACACTGAAAAGCAAAAGTAGACAAGGACACTATTTCACTAGGGCAATGATCTCAGTGGAAGCTTCCAGGACAGGCAAATTCATGAGCTGGAGTTCTCTTCCCATATCTGTGAATGTTCAAATCAGAAAGAACTTTGTCTTTAGAGCAAGGTATACTTTTTCTCCTGCCCGCCTGGCAATGCCAGCTTTTGAATACCTACTGAAAGGGGCGGCCTTGCAAAAATAACAGGGAAATCCCTAATTCTGCAATTTCCTAGTAGCAGTTAAAGATCAATCCTACCAGTTCTCCTGCTAACAGTTACCCCTTGGGAGTTCTGTTTTGCACAACTTCTGAAAAGAGCTGAACAGATGGAAAAGAGATGTAAATATTTCTCTTTAAAATTGTTTTTTTGTTTTTTCTTTTTGAGGATCTGCTTTTACAGGGTTCGCGGAGAAAGCAACTCTTGGACTTTGACATCCTGTGGCTGCTTTTGCTATCAACTGACACCATCACTATTTTTTTCTCTTTGTCTGCCTTAAAATCAGCGATCCACTGGACCTCAGGGCTGGCACCCTTTCTCTTTCTCTGGGATGTCACGTCATCTCCCTGCTCTCCCTCTCTTTCCTCCCTCATTCTCTCTCCTTGTAAAAGGATAAAATAAACTTTTTTACATTCATATATCCTAATCTCTGTGTGAGAAATCCTTCTCCGCCCATCCTGTGAGCACCTGCTGAGTTTTCCATCCCGGCATCTACTGTGTGTGAAGTGTAGGCGTCTTGCATTGCGCAGCAACCCGTGCAGCAGCACTAAAGAAACAGGTACAGACCTACCTGGCATGAGCAGGGAAGGAAGCGCACCGAAAAAGATAATATGCCAAGTAAGCAGAGCTTATACTTTGAGCACCAGAATCCAACCAATTCCACATCCCCACTGTTACCACCTGGTCTGAGGCCACCACCTCTCACCTGCATACCTGTAAAAGCTTCCCTCCTCACTTCCTTGGAGGCCAGAGAGGATTTGAGTCAGCTCATGTCACCCCTCTTGTTAAAAGCCTGCAATGGCTTCCCATATCTCTCAGTGCACAATCTGGTAGACTAGGGACAAAGCCAAGGTTCTACCACGCCATTCTGCGGTACCCTAGCCCCCGGTCATGCTGATGGTGGCACTGGGCTTCTCAACTCACGCAATGAAAGAGTCTCACAGCTCAGTGGTGGGGTCCCTCTTGAAGAATCACACTCCAGCCCCGCTAGATTTCTGCTCACTAGTCTAGACTGCAGTGGACCACGGAGGACTCACGCACCTGCTCCCATCTCCGGAGTTTATTCTCATAAGGCTCCTCCAGCAGCTCTGGGATGTGTGAAAACGGGGCCCATGTGCCTTTACACAGTGTTTGTTCTCATGCTCACTGTGTATCTTAAAGATCACATGAAATTATTTTTTAGCTAAGTCACAAAGAGATTTTATGATCACCCTGCGTATCTCTAAATGTGTCTGGCTAGCGCAGAAATTAGACAGAGCTTACCTGACAACTATGGTGGACATTGGAGGCTCTTTTGTGCTTCTCTTCCACGAGTGGCATTTCTTCCACCCCTCACTTACATTGTTGACGGCTTTTCTTCTCCATGAGGGCACTCTGCTTGGCTTTGGGGTCAGGCTAATCTCTTTTGGAAACTCATGTCTTGCTAAAATCCTTTCTAAGCCGGAGAGTTCAGGATTCTCACCTGGTAATAGGATAAGCATGAATACAATTCAATGTTCTTTTCCATTTTTGTATAGCAAGAGTAACATGGCATTGATTGGATAAGGAATATGCATGCCAATTACTGATTCCTACTTAGTTGTCATTGTTTCATGCCAACAATATTACTGAGCAATATTTAGATCTTAGCGTGGTCCTAGGCATCTAACAGATGTCCTGTAAATAAATAAATCATGAACAAACAATCAAGGCATGCTGGTGCTATGCAAATACTGCTGGTTATTTGTGCATGATTCTCAAACTAATGGCAAGTTACTGTGCAATTATTCTCACCGTGATTCTCACTTTCGCTTTCATTACATGCTTAATCAGAGATGTGCATTTGAAGCTTCCCAGAAGAAATGGGGTGAATGTTGGCATTACTTTCAGGCCCTATGACTTGGGGCTGCAACATTCCCCTTAAGATAGCAGCATGCTTTATCAGTAATAATCTGGGAGTGTAACTTACTGATCCTTTCTGATTCCACAAAATGTTTTTCTAGCCACAAATGCAGTGTTTTTTCTAATCTGTTATAAACATATCTATTTTTCACCTATGCTAGTGGGCAATGTCTTCCTGCTTTGGGAGGGCTACAATAATTAAGACTTGGGGTTTGGACCCTTGCAGCCTACTGCTGGCACCCTCTGGATGGCCAGTGGCACACCTATAGCAACAGCATGGTGGAACCACTTTGAGAAGTTGAGGTCAACACCAGGGGGCTTACGTTCTCATCAGAAATGGAATAGCATCCCTCGCTGGGCAGCCAGCAGCTCCCTGAGAGGTCGGTGCCGCAGGACATTTCTCCAGGTGGTCTTGGACCGACCCTGCTTCCGCTTTGTTCCCACTTTTAGTTCTCAGGAATAACTGCAGAGTGTGCTAGGGATGCAAAATCTTGAGACAAGAGGGATCTGGCTGGCTCAGCCTGGCTCTGTGACATGCCCTGTCTAGACATAGGATGTTTCTTCAGCGCTTAGCCCAGTGAGTTCCATCGTCTGTGGGCGTTAAACACGGGGCAGGCTGCTTTCTGGGGTCCCTCAGCTGTGGTGCAAGTGGGTCACATGAAGACAAGACTCCAGCCACCTCAGGCAGGGCCCCTGAGCCTTGCAGGACTGGCTCGCATGGAGCCTGAGCTTTGTTGTCTTTGCTGCCTGTCTGTAAACAATAAACCTGCTCCGTGTAACTTGTTTCTGTCGGTGAGAGTCTGTCCCACGACTCAGCAAGTGTGTGACGGTGGCGCAGCTGGCGTGCTCCGCGGGTGCTGCGGCTCACTGGGAAGGGGTGTGGGAGTCAGCGCGGCAACAGAGCCCTGCTGCCGCCACGGGAATCTGAGCACTACGGGCTGGCGTCTGCTCTGTAAGGATGTGGGAGGGAAACACTGCAATCCAAAAAAGGGGAAAAGAGTAATTTTTGTGTCTGGGGCAGGGGACACTTGGTGGTGTGGGATTCCATATTCCCAATCTCACTCATATCAAGCCAGATTTAATGAAGTTTTGTAGAATTATTTTTATCTGCAGATGCGTTAACCACACTTCACGTTTATACCACAGGCACTGGTTCACATTGACCTCGACCGGCCCTTAGCCAAATTGCCCGTCTGCAATGAGACAATATGCTCACACCGGAGTGTAATTCAGTATACTGCTTCCTTCACCACCGTCTTGCAGTAAGGGAAAAAAAAGAAATGAAAAGAAAAGAAAGAAAGAAAAGAGTCAGCTAAGCTACATCGTGTTTTTAGTCACACAGTTGACTTGTAAACTTTTAATCTCTTCTCCAATTGGTAACAATTAGAGAACCAACAGCAGTTTGCAGATCCCGCCTTGAGTAGGTCTGCAATCCATCTGAGCACACTAGGAAAGCGGACAGCGGTCATAGTCCTTGTGACAGGACGAGAAGCTGAACCTCAGAGAGACCCGGGCTGATCCTGCACAGGAATTGGACTGAATTCCTTTTACGTCAGGCTGAATCACCGACAGGCCCTTCTAGAGCACAGTAGTAGGCAGAGACCACAAAGTGCGGAGGTTTGGCTCACGGGACCGTAGCTTGGCAATCTGATTACCTGGCGTAACGACTTGCTGGATTGAGTGATCCTGAGAGGGCTCAAAACCACTCCAAGTGGACCAAGAAGAGGACTGGAACTGCCCTCGGCAGAACTTCAGTGAGCTCAGCGACCACACGCTGGGCTGCAGAGGAAGTTGTCACAAGCATGCTCTCACGACAAGAATGGCGCGTGCGGCTTGCTCCCATTGTCAGAATGTCTAAGCTGAATTTGATATTTGACTGAATTAGTTAATTCGATTCCGGTATTTGGTAACATCCAGTAAAAAAAATTTTTTTTGTTTCAACTGAATTGTTTTTGATAGTCTTGGTGCCTATATATATTTTAATATTGTAAATTGTCTCAAATCCTTTGTAAGCAGCTAGGGATAAATTAGAGAGATTGAAAAACCAATATTTAACAAAAATTACAAATTTGCATATTCTCCAGTATGATTAATTATATTTTGATACTGCACGCCAAAATGAGATAAAAACTCAGAACTCACTTTGAATATTTAGTTGTGCCTTAGTGCCAACCTTATTTGACATTATAAGAAAGTGTTCTGGTTTTTGAAAGAAAACAATAAGCAAGGAATACCTCGAGAAATTATTTGAAGTAAAATAATATTGACTATAAATTTATAGATGAAATTTTGGCCATACTGGACTGTAAGTTGCTTGAAGGACTTTTTATTTCTTATTTTACTTTTTTTCTTCTTTTTTAAGGGGTGGGGGGGTTGTGAGGAGGGGTGTTCAGTTGCCTCGTTTTGTTTTTTTTTGTTGAGACAGTCTCACTCTGTCGCCCTGGGTACAGTGCTGTGGCATCACTGTAGCTCACAGCAACCTCCGGCTCCTGGGCTCTAAGCGATCCTTCTGCCTCAGCCCCCCGGGTAGCTGGGACTACAGGCATGCGCAGCAACATCCGGCTGGGTTTTTGTTTTCTTTCGTTTTGGTAGAGACGGGGTCTCACTCTTGCTCAGGCTGGTCTCGAACTCCTGAGCTCAAGCGATCCTCCCGCCTCCACCTCCTAGAATGCTAGGATTACAGGCGTGAGCCACCGCATCCAGCCAATTTCTTATTTTAATGTGTGAAATGAAATGCATGTTGGATGGATGAATGAATGGGAGTAGTCACATTTAATACAAACCAACATAGACAAGATACATAAACAGGTACGCCAAGCAACTGGACATGTGTGTGTACATGTGTGTGTATGTACCAGAGACAGTAAACATAGGTAACTTAACACTAAGGCGATGTGTTACTTGTCCACCTCATAATTGCATTCTCCCATGTTCCTGCTGAAGTCATGGGTTTGCAGTCATCAGTGAGGCTGCAGCGCGTGAATCGCACTCGCTGCTTCTGGGAGTTGCCCTCTGGGCCTCCTCCCCAAGCCCACCTACTCTGTGGAAACCGCGCCCCCTACTGGCCACGCTTCTCCTTGCATGCCCCACCATCTAGTTAGGCAGCTTCCCAAAATATTTTGGGGAAAAAAAGCAATGGATTAACTAAGAGAGGTATCTTCTTCAGCATTAAAAACAATAAACAAAAGATTTAACCTTCCTCCCACTTCCTATTTTTTGTTTGGTGCAAGTAAGTAATTAGGGAATTGGTAAGTGGAAAGTAGTAAACACCATAAAACAGTAATAAGGAGATCTCAGAGCACCCCTTACACTGAACTGTGGCATGGCTGGGAGAGGAAGAACGCCTCTTCTAGGGGTTTTTGATGTATACAGAGGCTTTTTATGTTTTCGAGACAATTATCTGAACATCAATATACCTAAATCCATATAGTATAACGGAACTTCATTTCTCATTTTTATATTATGATTTAACTTCATATTTAAAATATAGAAGAAAACCCTAGGGTTTCAGTTATAGATGTTCTTTTTCTTTCTTTGTGTAATCATTTCTGGGGAACCAATATAGTCTAATACAGGTAAAGCATCTCTGCGGATGAAGAGGTGGTTGGCAGGGAAAGGAACAAAACCTATTTTAAGGTCAAAAGAAATTTCCCCTATTAATAGAAGGACGGCTTTAGACACAGTAGCAGCAAGATCGAATTCATGATCTGATGGGTGAAAGTCAGAGAAATAGGGTCATCTCTTCTGGATGCACTTGCAAGGCAATCACCGGACATTTGAAAATGGCGTTTTGGAAATGAAGCAGTCTTTTAGTGAAGAATTCGGGGCCTCGAAGGCAATGTGCCCCCAGTGACCGGACTCAGCCTCAGGCCAGGTCACTGAAGGCACAGACTCGGGGCTCAGAGGAGACATTTCTTCCCCCTTAATGCCATTCACCTCAGCTGCGTCATGCACCTCTTTAAATTCGCTTCCAATAATAGCAAAGAATCACTGCACGCAAACACCTCTGGGACAAAGGCACCTAACTGCTGTGTGGCAGTTTTACACGGCAGGAACTACCATCTCCTGAAGGAGTATCAACATCTGTCGGTGTCTGCACTGGGAGGCTAAGGGAACAAAATCCAAATCAACATAAAATGGGAAGGTCACTAGAAAATCAAAACCCATTTTTCTAGCTTCACTTAAATACTCATTGCATTTTCAATTTTAAAATTACATTTTAATTACAAAAATAATAGATGTAAAGATTTCTGTTGGAATACATAAAATTAAACAACTCAGAAGAACATTTTCCTTCATCTTCCTTCTCCAAGAGGTAGCTATTATCTTGAATTTGCTGAGTCTCTTTCCAGAACTCTTTTCTATGCATTTACATAATGTTTGTATGAACAAATAAAACGTACAATTTTCTCTTGGCATAAATGGATTCATATTGTGTTTCTTTTGCAGCTTATTAAAACTCTAAGTATGTATTGTAGGTATTTTAATGTCAACCCTCTTTTTAACAGTATTTCACAGTATGGAAATGATATGCTCATTCATTTAATCATTCTTCTGTTGAATGACATTAGGCTGTTTAAAATTTTTTCACCATTATAAACAAGGCTTCTATGCACATCTATGTTAATGCATAAGTATGAGTATTTCTGTAGGATAATAATTAGAAGCGGAATTGCTGAGTTGAAGGACATGCATATGTAACAGGATGTGAAAATATGAATTTTTCTGTTGTCTCAGTTTTGTCCAAGGTCGTAAAGTCTGAGAAAAATTCAGTAGGTGCCAGTTACCCCTCTATCCACAACATAATTATCTATCTAATGTTAGGTCTATCCCAATGTTCCCTGGTCCACGGTTCCCAGTGTCAAGAGTGAGTCTCGGTACCGAGTTGAGCCAATGACAGAGTGATCACAAATACAAAGCCATCCCACACAAACAGTTTATTACAGAAAAGGAAGAAAGTTCCCAAAGTGAAAATACATTCCAGAGAGAGGAACAGGTCAGTCTCTGAGAGGGGAGAAAGACTTTGAGGACTCCCTGGCGGTTTCCTTTTATTGGGCTGGTCTGGGGGCGGGCTCTCGGGAGGTGTGGGATAGTACCAAATGATTGGCAGGTGTTCTTATCCACTTATGCTCCACAGATGTGTAAACCTCAAAACCTCCGATTTCTGGGTTTTCATTAACTATGTTTTTTTCTGCACTCCCTTCTGATTGGTCCCAGCTTCTCCACCCCTAGGAACCACCCTCCTGACCTATACCCTCCACCTGCAGATTTGAGACCTACCTAACACTAAGAAAAAGCTAAGCATTGTTTAAGGCACTTGAGGATTTCTTTAGGCACAGAGTTGTGGTAGTGCTATGTACCATAGCAACAGTTCCCAACCTTTTTGGTACCAGGGACTGGTTTCATGGGAGACAATTTTTCACAGCCTGGGGTGGGGTGGATGGTTTTGGACAAATTCTAAGAAAGAATGTGCAACCTAGATCCTTTGCATGTGCAGTTTACAGTAGGATTCGCACTCCTATGAGAATCTAATGCTGCTGCTGATCTGACAGGAGGCGGAGCTTGGGCGGTGATGCGAGTGATGGGGAGTGGCTGTAAATACAGATGAAGCTTCACTCACTCACCCAGCGCTCACCTCCTGCTGTGCGGCCCGGTTCCTAACAGGCCATGGACCAGTTCCAGTCCGCACCCTGGGGGTTGGGGACCATAGCACTATCGCATTTCCCTTCCTTCCCCGCCCCCTAGCTTTAAGAGGTATTTTAAGAGAATTACCTGGAGAATCAGACTATGTCCCACACACCTGGTGTATCAGTTTCCTAGGGCTGTCATAACAGTACCACAAACTGGGGGGCTTAAAACAACAAATTTATTGTCTCACATTCAGGAGGTTGGGAGTTGGAAATCAAGGTGTGAGCAGAGCCGTGCGCTCTCTGAAACCTCTAGGGGAGCATTTTCCCTTGCCTCTTCTGAGCTTTCGGTGTTGGCTGGCAACCCTTGGTATTCCTTAGCTATGGCTACGTCACTCCCGCCTTTGCTGTCACATGGCCATCTTCTCTGGTGTGTCTGTCTTCTTATAAGGACATCAATCATACTGGATTAAGACCCCGCCCTGCTCTGGTATGCCCTGATCTGAACTTAATTAATTACATCTGCACCCTATAAAGACCCTATTTCCAAATCTGGTCATATTCCGGGCTACTGGGGGTTAGGACCTCAGTATGTCTTTTGGGGGGATACAATTCAGCCCATAACACCTGGAAACATCAAACGGTGAGTGGTTGGGACCACAGCTGCCTGTGGCCACAAAGAAGTGAGAGCAGAGTTGGAAGTCATTATGCTTTTACCACCTGGGTGAAGGTATGGGGAACAAGGGCTCAGCTTTTCTACGAGCTAACTGTAACCCCCCTGCAAAGCACAGTTAACTCTTGAACAACACAAGGGTTAGTGGCACTGACCCCTGCACAGTCAAAAATCTGCCTGTAACCCTTTTTCTGAGACAGGGTCTCACTGTGTTGCCTAGGCTGGTCTTGAACTCCTAGGCTCAAGGGATCCTCCCCTCTCAGCCTCCCAAGTAGCTGGGGTTATAGGCACATGCCACCTTGCCTGCCACTTTTGACTTCTCCAAAACTTAACTACGAATAGAATAGCCTACTGTTGAGCAGAAGACTTACAATAACATATGCAGTTGATCAATACGTATTTTATGTGCTATATGTATTATTTACTGTATCCTTATAATAAAGTAAGCCAGAAAAAAGAAAATGTTTTTAAGAAAACCATGAGGAGGAGAAAATACATTTTCTCCAGGATCCTCCTGGCTCAGCCTCCCTAGTAGCTGGGACTACAGGTGCACACCACCACACTGGCTAATTTTGTGTAGAGATAAGGTCCTGCTATGTTGCCCAGGCTGGTCTCCAACTCCTGCCCTCAAGTCATCCTCCGGCCTCGGCCTCCCAGAGTGCTGGGATTATAGGTGTGAGCCACCAGGCCCAGCCTATGGTATTTTGTTACAGCAGTTTAAACGGACTAAGACAGTTTAAGGACGAGGGGAAGAGGGAAATGTCAGCAGGAGGTTGTGCAAATGAGATCCCCCCAGCACAGGAAATAGCAAAGAACCCACACAGATGCCCCAGGAAAGAGCCAGTCAGCTTCTGACAGGTGCCACTCCCAGAGGGCACAAAGCTGAGATCACAGGCTGAGAACTGACTAGTCAAGAGAAAAGCTGTTCAGCTTCTTGCCTCTCCTCCCTCCCACCCTCACCTCATCGGCCTGACGGAAGCCTGAGAGGGAGGAGGCGGAGCAAGGCTGAGGAAAGAACGGCCACATGGCCAGGCCTTCCTCGGGCTTCTGCGTCCAAGTCAGGCTGGAAAATTGGCAAACAGAGGTTTTAAACGGGGTGAGAGTTTAGAGCTTGGATATTAGAGTAAACTTTTTATTATCTGAATATGACCTGGAAAGCTATGAGATCTGCCTGCAATGTCACCTAAGGGTGGACAAGTCAACAGAATGGGTCAAAAGGC